CAAGAGGTTTGTCTATTTTGTTTATGTTTTCAAAGAACTAGCTTTTGGTTTTATTGATCTTTTCAACTTTAAAAAAAAATTCTACATTATTTGTTTCTGCTCTAATTTTTATTCTTTCCTTCCTACTTTTGGCTTTTGGTTTCATTCGTTCTTCTCTTTCTATCTAACTTATCTAGTTAGATAAGTTATAGGGTTAGATTATTTGGTATCTTTCTTGTTTTTTGATATGGGCCCACTATATACTTCCCTCTTAGCAATGCTTTGTTGCATCCCAAAGTTTCTGGTAGCTTATGTCAACATTTTTTCCAAAGATGTATTTATTTATGCATACAAGAGCTGGGGTACAGGCCAGAGGTGCAGGGGATGAGAGGATTCACCAGAGACAGAGTGGGGAGCAGAACAGGCAGACTGACTGAACTACACTGTTATTTAGTGTCCACATATTTGAAGTTTTACCTGTTTGCTTTTTGTGATAGATTTCTATTTTGAGACCATTGTGATAAAAGAAAATACTTGATGTGATCTCTGTCTTTATGAATCTATTGACAGTTGTTTGTAAGCCAACTTGTGATCTATTTTGGAGATGTTTCATGTGCACTAGAAAGGAATGTGTATAATCAGCTTTGTGGGGGTTCATTATCTTAAAATTGTCTATTATGCCCCTGTGGTCTAACTCCTCATTTGATTTTCCTTTCTGATTTTCTTTTTGGATATATGTGCATTGGTATATGTAGGGTGTTAAAGTTCCTTATTACTGCTGTGCTGCTGTCAATATCTGTCTTTAGGTTTGTTGATGGTTACTTTATATATTTTGATTTATATGCTCCTTCGTTGGATGCATTGATGTGTTTTTTGTCCTTCGGATGTATTAATTCCTTAATCATTGTATAATGTCCATCACTATCTCTTACCATTTTTTAGCTGTAAATATATTTCATCTGATAATAGGTATGGCTTTTCCTGCCTTTTTTAGAGTACCACTTACTTGTGAAATTGTTTTCCAACCTTTTATTTTGAGTCCATGTTTATCTTTGGATCTCAGATAGGTGCCCTCAAGATACCAAAACGTTATTTATATTCCATGTAAAAGATAAGCTGCCGTCACTTATATGTGGAATATACAGAAACGAAACAAAGGTTCAAATAAAGGCAGACCAATAATAAACCCTAGAAATCTGACTGTAGAACTGAGGCTACATGAGGCTACATCTGATTTCTGATACACTCTGTTCCTTTCGATTGGTGAGTTCAGTCCCTTTACATTTAGGGTGATTATTGATATATGAGCCTTTGCCTTTGGTTTTCTGGTTTTGTTGATTTATGTCCTCATTCAATTTTTTGCCAACTTCCTTGTCTTTGATTTAGATAGAAGAGTTCCTTTCAACATTTCTTCTAGGAAAGAAGGCATGGGAGGGATTGGGCTACTCCATCTTTTCCAGAACTGTCAGTATGCAGGTCAGATTTTTTCTTTTCAATGAAGTCAAATCCAGCTTAGTTTTGGATGTAGGCCTGCAGGTTTTTGGCTGTATGACTTTCAGGCAAGACACTAGTATTCTCTTAGCATGTGTCCTTATTTATTGTTACAGAAAGAAGTCTTGGGATTTCTACCAATTTGCCTCTTGAAGAGAAAAAAGTGACATTTTTATGAAATCCAATATGTTAATTTATTTTCTCTTGGAGTTTGTGTCTATGACATAGTTGACTCAACTTAAGTATATGATGTGATAAAAATTCTTGTACTTCTGATGATCATCACTATTATGATAATTGTGAAAAGATGAATTAGAACTGTTTGTTCCAACAATATTAGTTGAAAAATGTCTATTATCTCATTGAATTTTCTTGACATTATTGTCAAAAGCATATGTATGTATTTCTTGACTATTCTGTTCATTGATCAATTTGTCAATGCTTATTTATACTGATACCACACTGTTTTGATTATTATACCTTTATGTAAGTCTTAAAGTACTGAAAGGCCTTCAAAATGTCCCTCTTTTCAAAGTTGTTTTGGCTATTGTTAGACTTTTTGATTTTTTTCTATAAATTTTACATTCATATTATCAATTTTTATTAGAAAGTTGCTGGGACTTAGTTTATGTTGTCAGAGAGTTGTAGTCTTCAATATGCAGGTCTTTTTTCATATCCCAAAGTATTTTGTATTTCTGATGCCATTGTAAGTGATATTATTCAAATCTTTAAACTGGCTGCTGTTTGCTGGTAGAGCACTAAGATGCACAGAGGAGAAGCAAAATCGTAGTCATACTGCTGCAAACCAAGGAAGGCCTGGGGCCACCAGGACCTAGAAGTTTCTTGTGTAGAGACGTCAAAGAGAATGTAGCCCTGTAGAGACCTTAATTTGGACTTCTGGCCTATATATGAAAGAATAAATCTCTGATTTTGCTAAGCCACCTAGTTTATGATAATTTTTTACAGCAGTCTCAGATAACTAATACATCTTTAATGTATAAAAGTACAACTAAATTTGTATATTGATCTTGTATCCTACAACCTTTCTAAACTCACATGTTAGCTCTATTTGGTTTGTATATTACATAGTTCTTTCAATTAGGGAGGTAAATCTAGTCCCTATTACTCCATTTTCTTTTGAAGCATAAATGTGGCTTTATGTTTTAAATGAGTTAATCATGAAGGCTTTACTTCTAAACAGAGTCCATTTGCTATGTTATCTGGACTTTCTGGAAGGGTTCAGTATCTGTGTAGCCTGCCTGCTCTGCCAGACTAAAAAGTTCAAATTGTATTGCTTTCTCTGGTCACAAGGTGGCCCTTAGGTTTATTTTCTGCATTGCTCTTCAATGAATTTTTTAAGGAAAAATGTAAGTATTTTTATTCAGCATTATTTAAATTTTGCTAGAAATATGTAAGGATTAAAAAATTCATACTTGTTTTATCATTTACTGAATGCCACTAAAACATGTTTACCTTCTACAGTTTTTCCTTCGACAGATACTTAGAAGGACATGATGCACATGTGCTAAATGCCAATGACCCAGTTCACTTCTAACTTTAAAATCTTTCTTGAATATTGTTTTAGAACCAGGGTACACTCCCTCATCTATCTGCTCTTTGCTGGATTTTTTAGGCATTTATGGAAAGAATTTGTCTATCCCTTTTGTGGAGACAATGATCACTGTGAGAGAGAAAATGAAGTTTATCACATAACATGGAGAAAAGATATAAACAGGCAAATGTAGCCAAAGCGTTAGATATGACTGTTCCCTTCAAGGGAACCTCGTGCCCTCTTCGCTTACTCTTATCAAACTTTGTGCTGCGTGTTTTTTGCCTGAGTATTTGTGTGGTGGCTCCGCACTCACAAAATGTTCCTTCAGATACCCCTTCAGATCCAAAGAATCTGTTAAGAACTAAAGGGAAGCTAGTTAGCAAAGGACTGTCTCCAGAGATAGGAAACCTAAACCCATTCCTCTCAGCGGTTTACAGGGCAACTTGGATCTGCCTAGAATACATAGAAGTACATTTTTATGGGCATGTGAGTGTCTAACCTTCTATCAAAATATTCCATGGGTTCACATGACAACTTCATTTGTCTTCATGAAGGAATTGCTGAATAGTCCTTAGACCAATGAAGACAGAACTGCTTGTTTTCCATAGAAGCTGGTGCTGACACTGGCAAGGGCAAAAGCCCCCTGTTCACCAGTTTTTCTGTCTTTTCAACTCTGGCCTTTCTCCTCATAAATTGTTGTCTTGTAGGAATGTGTTTTGTGCCCCAAGTACCTGTAGGCTGGTAGGCTTTGGGATTGCTTAAGCATCAAGATGTCTGAGGTTTGCTGTCTTACGTATCATTTTCACCTGCCTGTCCACTTTTCGTAGGTGCTATTAGGATGTTATCTTCTAGAGCAGAGCTTGGGAAACTTTTTCTGTTAGGGCCGGATATATATGTAGGATTTCCGGGAAGAGCCATATTTAACAACTCAACCTCTGTAGTGCAAACCCAATCATATACAATTTCACCCCAAGAAAACTTTATGGGCACCATGTAAATTCCATTAATTTTTACATGTAAATTCTGTAATTTCATTTAACCTTTACGGGTCAGAAAAACTTGATTTTTCAGCCGTTAAAAAATATAAAATTTATTCTTTCATTGCCTACCTGTTCTAAAATTCTAACACAAGACTATCTTCACACCTAATATGCATTGCACCTACCTAGTACATTCCAAGGCAACTTTACGGCCCCAGATCTATTAGGACACTTGACCTGAGTCCTTAAGAGAGACTGCTCCTAAGTTAGGTGTCATCTGGGTATCCATTGAATTCACTGACATTGTCTCTTGGTATCGAATGCAATATAGGGTAATTCTTGACATTCTTAGGGTTCAAGGAATAGTGTGAGGGACTGCCTCAGATTGAAAATGAAGTATTCCTTCACAAATCTTGTATAGTCCAATGAACTAAGGAGATTTTTTGGGGGGAGAACCAGACAAGGTCTTCTGAAGGTAAATAGGGATCTAGTCACACTTGTAAAGAACAGAATGACTTTTCAATACATTCGGAGTTCTAGAGCAATCGGTGGGACTTTTTCACCTTGAAAGAGACCTGAACATCAATATTCGAAGAAGATAGGTACAGGGAACAGCAGCAGAGGAACGGAGCTACTGACCCCTTAAACCACTGGGTTTGGTTGTGAGGATAGACCTGGAATTTTCTCGTATATGTGAAAGGATTATCTAAAAGACTGGGTCATGCGTATTCCAGTGGGAACAAGAGCTTGGAGAAAAACCACAAACTTAACATTTTATTAAACACCCATAGTAGCCCTGGAGGTAATTGTTATTGTCATCTTGCTGATAAATTTTTGAAGAGATTCTGTGACAAGTGTTTAGTCAGTGCTCACATTGGTTTTATCAGGTAGTTCTTTATTAAGTACTTAACTACGTCAGCTGTGAAAAAGAAAACATTCATAATTATATCATAAAGAACACCTATATTTTTGTAGATGGTTTATATAAAATAATGTAAGATTTGAAATAATATATACGCAGGATGCTTTTTTAAATTGCTTTATTAACATCACAATATATAATGAGCTCTTTCCATGCAATAGGTAAAACGCCCCTGCTGACAGAAACTTACAGACTGGGTGAAAAACACAACATTCAATTAGAAGCTGGTAGTAAGAGACCCAACAAGAAACAAGTAACATCCAAAGGTTTACAACAAAGGTACATCACAAACATGTAAGTTTAGGAAGCAGGCGTGTCTCCCTATTAGCTTCAGGGGAAACAACAGGATTCAAGGCATAAGGCAAAACTCATCATGATGGTCTTGGCGAGGGGGGTCAGTGCTAACTGCGCGCAGACTATGACTGGACTGCTTTTCCCTCAGCTTTTCCATCAGCTGCCTCACCTCCTCCCCAATCCTTTCCATATTCTCCTCTCTCACCCTCGCCTGTGGCTCTCCAAGCTTCTCAATCACTTCCCATCTATACTGCTGGATGGGCTGCCGGATGCGGGACCGCCTACGGCTTCCTCTAGGCAAAGAATATTCACCAGCTTCCCAAGGGAGGGCCAAGGGCTCTCCTTTATTAGCGTCGTGCTCCTTTTCCTCCTTTTTCTCATGCCCCGCGTTGGCATTTTCCATGTTGAGATTTTTTACTACTTGTTCTTCTTTGGACGCCATTGCTCCTAAGAAAAAACAGACCAGAAAAGGGGCTATTTTTTTGGTGGCCCGATCAGCACCGAGGACAGAGGCCCTACTACGCACCTTTCAAGATTAAGAGCCCAGGATCTCAAAAGCTTCTTAATATTTCATCTTTCCCACCTGAGAGGCTTCCTGCGCCCTCTAGGGGGCCCCGAGTCCCAGCTCTCCCCCTTCCCTCTCGCTGCCCTCCCCTCCCTCGCCCCAGACCCACCATTTTCCAAGCCAATCCAGTCCCCAGGCCTCTGCAGGCACCAAAATGGAGGACGCAATTGAGTGGGGGGGCGGTGCTGGGGTCTCGGGGCTTTGCACACGCCTCCCACCCCGCCCCCCACCAAGTCCCCAGCACCCACCTGGGCCTATCCTTGCTGTCTCCTCCTCCCGATTCTCGCCACGAGCGCGCCGCCGCGACACCGGGACCTGCAGAGGGCCGGGGAGGGGGGTGGGGGGGGTCCAGGCGGCTGCGGCCGAGCGCTCGACGCCGCACGACCCCGCACGGCCCCGGGCCCCCACGCCGCCGCCACCCGCGTCTCCCGCCCGCGCCCCCAGCCGCCCCTGCCCGGACCCCCCTTTGCTGCACCACCGGGACGGGGGCGGGGCGTCGGAGAAGCCTGCGCGGGGGGGACGACAGGTGTCGGCAAACGGTGGGGGCCTCCCCCCAGGAAAGGCCTGCCAGCTTCTGCCGCCCGCCCAACGCGGGGCCGCGGCGGGGCATGGGGGCGGCGGTCTCCGCGCGGCTCGGCCGGGTCCCGGGGCAGCCGGAGCTCGGGGAGGGGTCCGCCGGCCGCGGCCGCTCCCCCACCTCGCGCCCGGGGCCCCGCCCGTGGCGGGCCCCTTACCTGCTCTCCCTCCGCCTTCCGCTGTTGGGGCCCCCCCGGCCCGCACGCCCTCAGGCCACCGCGAGCAGGTACCAAGAAGGAAGCGAGCCAAGGCGGGGTTTGACGCGGGAGCAGGGCGCGCGCGGGTCAGCGTCGGTCGGTCACATGAGGCCCTCGGCCCCGCCCTCGGGCCCGCCCCTACCCCGTGTCCCGCCCCCACCCCGGCCTCAGCCCCCTCCCGCCGCGCCCCGAGCTGACCGCCAGCGCCCGGTCCAGCACCCCGGCCTCTGCCCGGTGGCTCGCCGTTCTTTGTGTGTTCCCGGGCCTTTCTCTGGATCCTGAAAAGGGCGGATCTTCTCAGGGGCCGTTGGGCATTCCCACTTTTACTCTGGGGACCTGACTCTTCACATCCTTTGCTCCCAGGTTGTGCCTCCTCCCACCTTTCTGCCACCAGTGCTCTCCATTTTCCCTCCACGAAAATGCGTAGAAGTGATGTGTCAGGAAAAGAGCCCGGGAGAGTGGATTTTTATAAATTCTTAATTCTCTTTTGTTCCTTTTATATTAAAGAACAAAAACTACTAATTTGCTTTTTTAAGGGAAAAATAAATGAAGTTATTTTTATTTGTAAAATAGGATTAAAGTTGGGGAAAAATACCCAACCACCTGTCTCTTCTGCTAAGTCACTATATAAATATAGACTGTACTGGCAGCTGCTTTTTTAGAACTTGGAAAAGGACAGAGCAGCTGATGGCTCCACTTGTGAGGGGCCCCTTCGATACATGAGCCCCTTCCCTGAGGTGAGCCAAAGAGTATGTAGTGCAGCAGAGCCTCTTTGAATTTCCAAAACTGCAACAACAGCAAAAACTCCTTCCCAGACTTCTGGTTCAAAAAAAAAAAAAAAAAAAAGTATGCCCTTTTTTTTCTTGCAAATCACATCATCACGTTTTTAGAGACTTTTAAGGGATATATGATAAACCATCTATCCCGCAAGAATTTAATTTAGTAAGTTTGCAATTATGGATAAGCAAAAACTCACTGCATTCCTATATGCTAGTAATGAACAAGTGGAAATTGAAATTGTGTGCGTGTGTAATTTGTAACTTCCAAAACCATGAAATTCTTAGGGATAAATTTAGCCAAACATGTAGAAAACAAGTACAGTAAAAACTGCAAAACATTGCAGAAAGAAACTAAAGCTCAAAATGAATATAAACATAAACCATGGCCCTAAATTAGGAAATTCATTATTGTTAAGATATATATTCTCTCCTAAATATTTTATAGTCTCAGTGAAGTCAAGGTCAAAATTGCAGCAGATATTTTTGTATAACTTGAAAAACTTACCCCCCAAATTTGTATGGAAATGCAAAGATTCTGAAAATAGATAAACTAATTTTGAAAAAAAAAAGCCCCACAAATTTGGAACATTGCATTATTTGATTTCTAGATTTAGGATATAGTGATAAAATTAGTCCTATAGTGGAATATATATAGGCATATACATCAATAGCATAGAATAAAGCATCTAGAAACAGATCTATATATAGTTACTTATTTTCAACAAAGGTATCAAGATAATTCAATGGGGAAAATACGGTCTTTTTAACAAATGGTGCTAAAACAAGTGAAACTCCTTATGGTTAAAAAAAAAAAAAGGGGGGGGACCTTCCTGGTGGCACAAGAGGTTAAGTCTCAGCACAGCATGAGTTCTATCCTGGCCAGGGACCTAACCCACATGGTGCAGCAGACCTCTCCTGCCTCACCCACTGCTGCCTTCAGCAGTGTCTTTGGTCAGTCTGCCTGTTCTGCTCCACGCTCTGTATCTGGTGAATTCTCTCACCCTCCTGCACCTCTGACTGTGCCCCAGTTTTTTTGTAAATAAATAAATCTTAAAGAAAAATAAAATAGATCATGTACCTAAATATGGACACCAAGAAAAGACACGAAGAGATCATAAACGAAAAAGTGAGAAAATGAACTTATCAAATGAAAAACTCTGCTCTTGGTTTAGAATATGAAATGGGAAACAGAAGAAAATATTTACAATACAGTAACCAACAAAGGGTTTGAATCCAGAAGAGATATAAAGAACTCCTAAAATTCAAAATAAGAAGACAAACTATGTATTACAAAAGAGAAAAGGCTTGAGCGAACATTTCACAAAATATGCAATGCTATAAAATGCCGAGATCATGGAAAGATGTTCAATCTCATTAATCATCAGGAAAACGTAAATAAAACCAGAATAAAATACCACTACACACCCATGAGAACTGCTGAAATTAAATTGTGACAATCAAAAGTATTTCTGAAGATACAGAAAAACTGGAATGCTAGTTCATTGCTAGTGGGAAGTCCAACCACTTTGAAAAACTTTTGACAGCTTTTTTAAAAGTTAAACTTACACTTGCCATATGTCCCAGAAATTCCACTCTTAGGAATTTCTCAGAGCATTCGAAACATATTTTCTTAAAAAGATTTGTACAGGCATGTTCATAGCAATTTCATATATGATATATCCAAAGTGGGTACAATCCAAATGTCCATCAACAGCGAATGAATACATAAACAAATTGTGAGCTACTCACACATTAGGCTACTACTAAGCAACCAAGTATCAAACCACTGGTACAAACATAAACACAGATGAATCTCAAAACTTATTATATGCAGGGGAAAGATATCAGCCAGATTGCATCCTGCATGATTCTATTTACATAAAGTTCTAAAAAGGGCAAACCTAATTTATATTGATATAGATTGGAGTAAATCAGTGTTTGCCTGGTTTAGAGGTTGTGTTTTCAAACTGTAAAGGGGCATGAATGGAGAGACTCCAACCACAACACAGCAGAATATAGAAGTTGGGGTCACCCTCTCCACTAAAAACCACTATAAAAAAATTGTTCATAGGAAGATCCAGACACTCCGTCCCATCTGTAGCGTCCCAGGACTTCCCCTCAGAGATACTGAACCTATAAGGTTGGTGGCTGCTGAGGGTAAAGAACGGGAGGAAGCAACGGGGAGTGTGACTGGGACAGTAGATAACCCAGCTATCAGAATGCGCTGGGGGTCGACCACCCAAGCCAGGACGGGGCAACACGGGCAAAGTGAAATTCCCTGGTGAATTTTGCTGACACACATGTGAGTTCAGAGCTGGCTCAGAGCAGCGAGAACTCTGTGGGCATAGACCCAGGAAATTGGGAGCTCTGCAACTGGCACAGGCACCAAAAGCTCTCTCCCCTACCCCCTCCCAGAAGAGATCAAAGAGACGCCAGGCTGAGCCAGGCAGGCCTCCATAAATAGTCCAATAGCATAGAGAAGGAATTGTGCGATAACTCCCAAATCCCTTGGAAAAGTAAATAAATGGCATTCAGGTATTGCAACCCTGCAGAAGCAATGGCTGTTTATGATGGTCACAGCGACAAGGTAGCACACGCCTGACTGCCACACTTGGGCGCCATGCCATCTACTTGTCAAGCACAATTTAGTCCTGGGGTGTGAACCTGGTGGTCCAGACCTAGATCCCTACAAAGCAGAAAGGAGAAGCAGGGAAGTGGGACTGGAAGTTAGGACAACCTAAACACAGAATACAACTTGCTGTAGAATGAAAGAAGAGAAAGTAGAGGACACCAATTTTACGCCTCAAACTGAGCCCAAGTATTAAAGCCCCAGACTCAACAATTGCCCCCACCTTACACCAAGATAAACTAAGAAAAAAAAAAAGGCAAACAAAACTAAATCCCCAGCACCCTAACCACACACACACACACAAATAACAAATGAGGCAACACAAATGCTTAGGAAGCAAGGACCATCTGAACACAAGATGGGAAAGCAAAATGAGAAGAACATAAATCCTGGGGCAAATATATAGGATACAGAATGGAAGGACCTATCAGACTTCAAAACAACAATTAAAAATGTTGATGAGGTACTAGAATGAAATGCACACAAATATAGAAAGTACTTTAAATAGAATTAAACTAGCAGAAGAAAGAATTTCAGATGTAGAAGACTCGAATGAACAAATGACCCATTTAGAAAAGGTGAGAGAATCAATAAAATGAAAATATGAGGAAATTCTACAAGAAATATCAGATTCAATTAAAAGAGGAAACTTAAGAATAATCAGGGTCCCAGAGGGTGCAGAGAGAAAGAAGGGAGAAGAAATGTTATTCAAAGAAATAATAATCGAGAATTTCCCAAACCTCAAGAATGAATTAAATATGGATGTCCAGGAAGCAGCAAGAACATGCATATTTTAAAATGCAAACAGATCTACATCTAGACACATCACTGTCAAGTTATCAAAACTCAAAGATAAAGAAAAAAATTTTTCAGGAAGCAAGGAAAAAAAATAACTTACAAAGGCTCCCAAATTAGGATTTCCCCAGATTTCAGCCCAGACACTCTCCAGGGAAGAAAAGAGTGGAAGGAAGTGTTCACAGTCCTAAAGGGCAAGAACTGCCAGCCATGAATATTCCATCCTGCAAAATTATCATTGAAGTATGAAGGTGAAATAAAGGTCTTTCCAGACAAACAGAAGGTGAGGGAGTTTACCACCACCAGAACTGCCCTTCAAGGAATGTTGAAAGGATTTCTACAAGAAAGAAGACATGAAACACAAATTCCTGAGCAAAATGACAATAGCAATATTAGACCAGGAGCATGAATGAGAATAATATGAGTCAACAACAAAACACCGTATGGGAGGGAGAAATGGATAGAACCTGTCTAGTTATATGTCAGAGAGCAGACACCAGCTCATAAAGGACTTAAGACATAGGAATTTAAGTAAATCCCCCATGGTAACTATTAACCAAAATCCAGAATAGAGACCCAGACACGAAGAAACAAAAAATTGACAGGAATACCAAGGAAAGCCAACAGAAAGAGCAGAGAGAAATAAATGGAAAAGAAACAACAGGAAAAGAAAACAAAGAAAAACTAGAAACAAAATGACTGTAATAAACGGTTCATCTCAATAATCACCCTAAATGTGAATGGTTGGAATTCACCAATAAAAAGACATAGACTGACAATGTGACTGAAAAAATTTCAGCCATTAATGCTTTGGTTACAAGAGACCCATTTAAAAACAAAGACAAAAACAAACTAAAAAATAAAATTTGGA